CCCGCTGTTCCCCTCAGCAGTGTACTTCATCAATCTGCCTGTTCTGTTCCCCACTCTGTCTCTGGTGAAGGCTCTCGCTGCCCCTGAGCCTCAGGTCTGTACCCCAGTTCTGTATGTACAATCTTAAAAAAAAACAAAAATTAACTCTTCAGTTCAAATGATAACGAACAAGATGGCACCACACTGCAGCAGTACAGACATGCCTCAGCACAGAATGACAGGGCTATACAGCTCCACCCACCCCAGCTTCTCCAAGGAATGAGGCAGGACAGCACCTCTGCCTCACTGGAGGGACAGATTTACACAGTACCTGCGAGGTTAAACCAGGGCAGTTTTTTTGTAAAGGTTCTGCTTCAGTTTGTAATTATTATACTTTATTATTAAAACTTCCAGAATAGTACAAAAATTTCCATTTATTAATATTTTACCATGTTTACAGCTTCAAATGGACCCACATTTGCCAAAGAGCTCATTGAAAGAGGCTCCTATGCCCTTCTGATGCTTCTCCACCATTTTTTGAGCATTACCTTATGTCCTGGAATTTCCTCACATCAAGGTTCATACAGCACATTTCAAGCCCAGAATCAGCCATTTCTCCAAGAGATCTGTTTTCCTTTTAGGAATGTGTATACACTCCTAAGAAGCTATCCCAAAGAAGAAACTAAGAAAACCAGATATACAAACATGTCTTTCTAAAACTATGTGAAAACTGAGATCATAGTGATAACTTCAACAGAGTCCAAATCAATTACAGAGTTCATTCTATCTTTCCCCTATTCTATATTCATAACTCCTTCAGCAGACATCTGACTACCAATATTTTCAAAATGTACTTTTTAGTCAATCCCCAAATAGAGAAACTATAGTCTTTGTGATCTGTGATGCAAATTTCCTCCCAACATGCTGGTTGTACTTTGACATTGTTTATAACTCCTTACATGTAGAGTGGGATTTAAAAAATTTGTAGTCAAATTTACCACTTTTTTTTTTATTAAAAAGTTTATTTTTACATCATTTTGCACATTTTTTTTTTCATCTCAATTGTAATCCCCACGGGTTTCAAATTTACCACTTTTAAAGCGGTAATGAATCAGAACTGCTGGTCTACATAACTTAGAAAAAGTAAACCTACTAACTAAAATTCAGTATTTCCTCATAACTATTTCTAATAACAGGTATGTAATAATCAAAATACTGGGTTTAAAAGTTATTCATTTGAAACATGGTTAGATTCATTTGCATCTTAAATTTTATTTTAAAGGTTTTGCCCAGTTGATTTTTTAATATGTAAACAATAATATAGCTTAGTATTAGCACTTTTCCATCCTTTCCAATCTATCCATTCACCCTGTTACTAGTCTCATTGATTTCATATTTATCTTTAGGTTGTACATTGCACAAGTGAACAGGTAACTTCACATTTTCATAATTCCCCCTTAAGGCTCAGATGAAAGTAACAAGAGTATACTTGTCTGCACTTTGGATTTCTTCACTTAAAATGTCCTCAGAATTACTTCTTATCAGACCACAGATATCATCCTCATTCTTTACTCCTCTATAGAAGTCTATTGAGAAAATACATTCATTATTCAACAAATCCATGTGTTCTTTTCTGAAACTTACAAGTTTCAGAATAATTTTACCATTACAAATAACATTGTAGTATCGTGTGTCTATAATTTTTCAAAGTGGGAAGTATTTTTTCAGGGTAAACTCCGAAAAGTGGGATTACTGGGTAAAAGTGTTAATAAATGCTTAGACTTAGATACGGTAGTCCCCTACCAGAAACATGAACCTGCCTGCTTCTTCAGACTTACTAATGAATTTTTTTTTTTTTTTGGCCAGTCTGACAGATGAAAAATAACTCAGTGTGATTTTAATATGCATTTCTAGATTTTAAATAGAGTTGAACATCCTTCCATATATTTATATCTTATAAGCTATACATGTTCAATTTTGATCTTTATTCCCCAATTTTAAGAGTACAGTAAATCAAAGTGATACTAGCCTTTGTGATCTGTGATGCAAATTTCCTCCCAACATGCTGGTTGTACTTTGAAATTGCTTATAATTCCTTACATGTAGAGTGGGATTTAAAAAATTTTTAGTCTGGCCCTCCCTGGTGGCGCAGCGGGTTAAAGCACTGCACTGAGAAGCTAAAGCCACTTCCGCATGAGTTCGATTCCCACCTGTCCCAGAGGAGACCATGTGGCGTGGCAGACCTCTCCTGACCCGCCCGCTGCTCCCCTCAGCAGTGTACTTCGTCTATCTACCTGTTCTGCTCCCCACTCTGTCTCTGGTGAAGTCTCTCACTGCCCCTGAGTCTCTGGCCTGTACCCCAGTTCTGTATGTACAAATAAATAAATCTTTAAAAAAAAATTTTTAGTCAAATTTACTTTTAAAGCTGCATAAATTTTGAATCATATTTTACCTCCCCCCTAAAATAAAGAAATTTATGTATGCTTTCATTTAGTGCTTATATAGATTCACTTATGTTTAGTTCTAATTCGTTTGCAATTTATTTTTGTGTATGACATGAAGTAAAAACCTAATCTTACATATTTCCTAACAGCCATCAGTTGTCTAGCAACATTTGTTAAATGGTAACCATTGCCCCTAGATTTTGAGATATTACTTCACTGTACATACCTGAATTCTCTGTGACTTGAATTCTTTCCTAGTTTCTCTATCCTACTGCTTTTAAGCTATTTATGTGCCAGCATCACACTGTTTTAAATACAGTATGTTTTATTTGCTTTCCAGTATATTCCTAGTCATTCTTGCATTTTTATGTTCCTACATGAACTTCTGTGCAAATTCATCAGCTCTATTTTTAAATTTTTGTCTGTTAGGATGCCTTACAGTTATAAACCAAATTCAGAAAAAAACTGATATTCTGATGTTAACTGAACATCCAGAAAAAAGATGTCTCTTCATTTATTCAAAGTCTACTTTTCTATTTCTCAGAAGTTTTAAAATTTTCCCCAAAGGTTTATTAAATATTTTATTTGCTTTGTTGCAGTATAAAGGTAGTTTCATACTAACATACTATAATTGGTTGTGTAAAGGAAGGCTATGTATATCATTTTTATAGCCTGTTTTTTAATTATTGCTTCAGATAGTTTTATCACACATTCGCTAGCATTTTTTTACTATTCTATGTTATGTACACAGTTTTCCTTTCCATGGCCTTTATCTCTAGTTGAGTCTCTTATAGCTGTTCTTACTAACCCTTCAGTATAAGTTAAACAATAGAGAGAATAGGCATTTTTGCTTTGTTCCTAATATTTATTAAGAAGGTATATACTAAACTTTATCATGTTTAAATATCCAATTCCCTAGTGTTCTATCAAAACTCTGTTAAAGGGTTTTTTCAGTATCTATGAAAATAATCGTAATCTTTCTCCTTTATAATAAGACATTAGGGGATTTCCTAGAACCTTGCAATCCTACAATAAATACCACTTGGCCATGATGTATAAATATAACAGGAAGTTGAGTCTGGTAGCTAACATTTCATGTTGTGGCATAAATAGTGGTAAGTGATATTAAACTGAAATCCTTTTAAGCAAACTTTATCAAGTTAGATATCCAGCTTACACTTGCTTCATAAAAAGGATGGGGAAGGGAGGTATGTTTTGTGTTGTTTTACTATGTTCTGAAACAATTTATATAGTACTGGTACTATTTGATCTTCAAAGGTGTCACTGAATGCCCATAGGAAGTTATATGAATTTGGTGCTTTTGTTTTTGTGAATTCCTTCCATGATATGAGTCAACTTAAGTTTTCTACCACTAATGTGATCAATCACTGCTTTGTGTTTTCTAAAGGAATTGTCTACTTCATCTACTATTAAGATTTTTAATTTCTTATGTTTTTTAATGACAGTCATAAAAGGAACTTCCAGAGAACAATTCAATAAAGTTGCTATACAATAAATTAACAGGCAACTATAAGTTGGGACATACTGAAGGGGAGGGGGACAGAGGGATCAAAACAAGGGAAACAAAGAGCACAAGGGACTATTTCCATGGTGCACAGGTGAATGGGTGGTGGGAATTCTATGGGGACTTACACCTGAGAGGAGAAAGCAAACCCTGTACAAAATGAACAATGATGTGAAATATACATATATGTTATTTAAAAATAGATAAAAATTCTTGTATTTCTATGGTTATTCATATTTGTTGTGTGTTTAGCTAGTGGTTACTCTAGCTCACTAATGGCACATTTTTTATTTCCTGAATCAGAAACTTCTATTTTTATCAAATCCTTTCTTATTTCTATTCTGTACTTTTTTAAATTTTTGAGCTGGGAATTTATTTTACTTCATTTTCACTAAGAACGTAAGATGAAATTTTCCTGTTTGCTGTTTTAAAATTACTCCACAGATTTTGATAGGTAGAATTTCAGCTTTTGGAATTCTGTCATTTTAGTATATTTTCTCCTTTCATACAAGAATTGTTTCAAAGATTTCTAAATAAAACAGTACTTCTATTTTCACTGCTATAAGTAACGGGCATTGGTCAGTGTTTTTTGTAATATTTTGCTTTATGGAATTCAATGATGTATGCTTTCTGACCTACAGTATGATCAACTTTTGTTAATGTCCATGTGTACCCAATAAGATTTACTGCCTATTATTCAAGAGTAAAGTCTGAACCATTCTCACAAGATCTACACAGTATGCTATTAGGTGTCTATGTACTTACTTAATTTTTTTCCATGTGATCTGCTTTGTACTAATTATGGTATATAATTATTACATTCACTTGCACTTTTTAGTACACAGCATCATCACAAGTACAGTTTCTCTTCCAAGGCTTTTGCCCCAGCATTAGCTAATCCTTCAGAAGTTAAATAACAGGGGAGAGCACAGGCAGCTTATAGTAATTTGTTTCTACTTGCATCTCTTTGGATCTCCTATAGTTTCTGCTTTATAAAAATGGCAGTCATATTCTTTGTGGTACAGATCTTTGTTTATTGTTTAAATGCTAAATGGTTTTATGTCTCAGTTAATACTTGAATTTTCTTTCGTCCACTATTAGGGTCACACACACTGTTGTTTCCATTTACCTGACACACCTGTTTGCCCATCCCTTATGCTCAACTTTCTGGATTCACTTTAAGAATCTCCTATATGCCACACACAGTAAGTCTTACTTTATAAAGAAAACTGAACATCTTTCTCTTTTAATAAAAGGTAAATGAGTTTAATGCTAAGCAATTTGCATTTATTGTTATAACAGATAACCTTGGTTTTTCTTTAAATACTTGCTCTATATGCCATTATTATACTATTAGATTAGTTTATGATGTATTTTACATTGCTATTTATGAAGTGTCCATCCAGGGACAACTAGATAAAAAAAAATTGGTGTATATATACACAAGAGAATACTACTTAGCTATTAAAAAAAAAGCTGAAAGCCTGCCAATTGCAACACCATAGACGCACCTTAATGAAATGAGTCAGAGATAAAAAATAGAAACATTGTATGATTTCACCCCAGGTGGTATACATAATAAGAAAGGAGGGCTGAACTAATGAAGAAAGCAAAAATAAATTTTTACAGTCTAAATCCAAATTAGTGGTTACCAGAGGGGAAGGAGGAAATGGAGTAGGCAAAGCAAGTAAAAAGGGAACAACTGTATGGTGAAGACTACAACTGGACTTTTAGTGGTGACATTAAAGTAGTATATACGGTGTTGATTTTTTTTTTTAGGACAACTTCTTTTTAACATGTTGATTTATAATGATGCACACCCAAACCATGTTATAATACCACAAAGAAACTAGTAACCTATTTACCAAAATGACATAATACAATGTTGACATCAGAACTATCTGTAATAGTCCCAAATTATTGTAATATACCCAAATGCCCATCAACTGTGGTCTGATGAACTGTGGTCTGTTCATACAAAAGACAAGAGACCAATAAGCAATATACTTAAACTTCAACCCCATCACCCTATGTACTCTCTTTTCCCTAGAAGACAAGCATCTCTAAGCACCGACTCTAAAAAAAGGTACTAACAAAAAGTCATTCTGAACTCAGGTCCAGACTGAGGGCACAGGGTCCCTTCTCTATGCACTCTGAAGTGCCTCTAAAGACCCTTGAGTTCTGCTGGCCAAACTGGTTCCTCATCTATCCAGCCCTCAAGTCCATCCACGTCACTGGGACAGCGTTGGCTACTGGTCCCAGAACATACTACTCAGTGGCCTCTGGTCCTGTGCCTATCCTGATGTTCTCCCTGTGTTGCCCAAGGTAAGATGTTGGGCCCACACCTCCTCATTAGGCAAAGCACAGTGCTCATGGAAGTGGCTAACCTGGCACAGGCAAGGCAGGCAGATACAGCACTTACAGAATGTATGATGTCCACCATGTCGTAGGCTTTGGTAGATTCCAAGGGAACAATTGTGTCAAGCTCAGGAACCAGGCGGTCACTTTGGAAAGAAAAGCAACAGGTATCAACAGCACTGGAAGGACCAGTTACTGTCCATGGGTAGGAGATGAGCAAGGAAAAGAGAGACACACATCATCAGGGCTAGGTCAGTTCTATTCCTGCGGGGCTTTCAAGGCTATGCCCTACAACTGATTCCTTTGTTGCCACCACAGAAACTGAACCAGAGCTAGGTAACAACCAGAAAAGACCTTTCTGATTTCCCTGAGAAAAGAGATGAAATTACACCTCTGAATGTGATTCCTCCATTTATCTTCTCTGAACACCTCCTACATTTTAGGCACTTTGTGGATTACTAAAGTATATTAAGCACTGCCCTGGGAGGTCCCAGCCTAACGATCTGAGACACTAAGAATAAAGAGAGCGACAAATCAGAAATGAAAAGCCAGGCCCGGTTCTGCTAAAACCACCCTGAGCTCATATTCCCAGATAAAAGGAAAACCTGCTAGAGCTCCTTTAACAGGCAAAACTGCAGGCCCCTGAAGGACAGAATCATTGGAAACTAAATACTCAGACAGGCTCTTGACCGTCTGCTTCCTCCTGCATTAGGTGACTGAGCAGTAGCCAGAGCCAGAACCCACTCGGTGTGTCAGACTCTCCAACCAGCTTTGTTCCCTCCTGTCCCAGGTAGTTAGGCAGGGGGTGTTCTGGCACTGAGATGCATCTGGACTGAGGTCTGGCCTTGGGCCAACCTACAGCCCATCAAGCCCCTCTTCCCAGAGAACACCACTCTGATAATAAAGTCCTCCCTTGCTTTTCATTTGCTTCTTACACATATACATCTGTTTCCCAGGAATCACAGCAGAGAAGACAGAACTGGACCCACACACATTAATTAGACATTTCTAGGGCTCTGGGCCATAACACCTTCAGATGGTATCCAAACTCTTTCCAGAACTCCAAATAGTATAAATGTTGAGAAAAGGAAGCTAAGCCTACCGCTCATGGACCTCATACCTCCTTCTCCCTATCATGACTACACACTGTGCTCAAGGAGAGGTGCGGGGCAGACAGTGGAGTGCTGGGGATGTGATTCTTTGGAACAGTCCTGAACAAACAGGGCCCCATAGGTAAGAACCCAAGTCTACTCCACCAGACAGTATCTCAGAATGGCTTCTTCCCAATGGAGAGAATTCCAAAACCCTTCTGCAGAAAGAACGCCCAAGTCAATAAGCACTTAAAACTTGGATAGGAAACCAAACAGAAAAGAAAGCAGCCAGGTATCTGGAACAATAGTTCCCTGGCAGGGCCTCTATATTACTCTGTGATGCCGTAACAGGCAGTGGCCCCAACAGCAAGCAGAAAGAGGTGGCTCACTAGGAAGCCCACCACACACCAGTCCCCAGCACTGCACCCACCTCCAGCCACAGTAGGTATATGGAAGACAAGCCCTGGAGGGTGAGAGGGCTGTATGCAACCTTAAATAAGTAAATTTATAGGTGCAATAGCCATATCATATCATATAATCATATCATATTATATAGCTATATTATACCCCTACTAGAGGGTAATACAAGGTGAGGAAAAAGTAAAACAGGGTAAAGGAAGTTGTGAGTGTTGTGGTTATAAATAGGATGGTAAGGAAAAGGTGAAGTGGATGAGAAGGGGTTAACTGTGTGGCTATCCAGGGAAGAAACACTGTGGGCAGAGAGAACCACCTTACAAAGCGGCAGGCATGCTCAGTGAATAGCAAGGAGGGTGGACAGAGTTAGAGGTATGTAGCTTCAACTTATTTACAGTGCATTAGCTGTAAATAAATAAATCTTCACAATACTTATTTCATGTCAAGACCAAAAACACTTCCATCTCTAATTCTTGATAAATTAGAAATCTCCAAAAACACTTCTTTTGTCACTTTTTACTCCCAAGCTACTTCTCAGATAGTACACAAAGGAAACATAAAATCATCTTTCTTTTACTCCTTCCCATGTCCCACCACATGCAACACCTAGGGGCCCAGGCTAACTCCACCCCCCAGCCAGCTCCAAGCTGCCCAGTGGGGTAGACACTGGCAGTCCTTCTGGGGTCGAAGGCCCAGAGAAAGGAAAAGATCCTGCCAAACAAGAGAAGGCACTCCAGGCTGCAACTCACCTGGGATCGTGGCACTCACGGATGGGAGCCGGGTCCTGATTGCTGAGGGGCAGGTAGTTGAAGAACTCCCGAAGGTTACACAAAGCATCAATATCATCTTCAAAAGCCCTGTGGGCCACACCTGAAAAAAGAGGCCAGATAAAAGGGACCTTTGACCTTTGAACCCAAAGATGCTGCCTCACATCCACGTGCCCTTCCAGAGTCTGAAGCAGACTCTGCTTATCAGATATGCTTGGTCATCTCCATGGAGAACAGGATGCCACAGCCACCTACCTCAGGGAGGCCTTCAGTCCAGGGACCTGTTTCCGCTCCTCTGTACCTATGCCACTGCCTATGTCATGCCTTCTTTTATTCAGGTCTTTGTTCTATGCACCCATAAGAATTGTTTTCCCTGACCCTTCTCTTGAACACACTATTTCCACATCTCTCATTTTCTGTCCCCACATTGTGTGAGGTCTTTTCACTCACTTTTCTCTGCAGCATCTCTTTTCCATTCACTGCCTGATCTCTTTCCTAGAACATCAGTTCCAACAGGGTAGAAATCTGTCTTACCGGCCCTCCCTGGTGGCGCAGCGGGTTAAAGCACAGCACTAAGAAGCTAAAGCCACTTCCGCATGAGTTCAATCCCCACCTGCCCTGGAGGTGACCACATGGCATGGCAGACCTCTCCTGACCCGCCCGCTGCTCCCCTCAGCAGTGTACTTCATTGATCTGCCTGTTCTGCTCCCCACTCTGTCTCTGGTGAATCCTCTCACCCTCCGCATCTCTGACCCGTACCCCAGTTCTGTATGAATAAATAAATCAAATTAAATTAAAAAGAAATCTGTCTTACCACCAGAGTCCCACATCTAAAATAATGCCTGGTTATATGTCAGTGATCTCCAAAGTTGGGGGAAAGATTAAGCAGATTAATGACTGGCATGTAATGTTACGGTGCCCCACTCACTACATAAGGAGGGAGGTGAGCAGATCCTAGTGAGGAACTGATCCATCATTCCTCAACCATTGAACACACATCACAGAACAGTCAACCAGACCATAGACAAGAGAGTAAGTAGGATCAGAAACACTCTCAGCTGCACCTACCAGATTCCCTGCTATCACTGGCCCCACAGTCTCTCAGTCACACAGCAGTCAAAGTGATCCCTTAAAGTCAGATCAAGTTACATACCTCTAAACCTATCCACCCTCTGTGCTATTCACTGAGCATGCCTGCCGCTTTGCAAGGTTGTTCTCTCTGCCCACAGTGTTTCTTCCCTGGATAGCCACACAATTAACCCCAGTCTCGTCCACTCCACCTTTTCCTGGCAATGGGATATCCACCCTTACCGTCCTGTTTATAATCACAACACTCCCAACTTCCTTTACCCTGTTTTACTTTTTCCTCACCATGTATTTCCCTCTTAATATATTACACAACGTCCCTATTTAGAGGTTTATCATTGTCTATCTCCTCTTCTAGAACACAAGCTCCTTACTGGCATGAGGTCTTTTAAAATTTATTTCACAAATGTATTCCTAGCAGAGGATGTGGAGAAAAAGGAACTCTCCTGCACTGCTGGTGGGAATGCAAACTAGTACAACCACTATGGAAAACTGTTTGGAGGTTCCTCAAAC